GTGGCTGATACGTTTGGATGTAATGTAGAATGATAATTTACAAAAAAAATGACTAATTGATTGATCTACTTTGATCAGATTAAACAAGCCGAAAGAAAGAAATTTTCCAACTCGATTTTTTTTTTGTCGTAATTGCGTATATCGAATATCCCTTAACATGAAACAAAGAGTAGCAGCAATCCTAGAAATGGGTATATTCGGTGCTTAAAAACTCGGTAAACTTGAATAAATTGCGACTGGTCAATTAGCTTTTAGAGCTACAATAGCGAAATTATATTTGGCGTTCCTTATAGATTTCGAACAACGGGTTAAAAAACTTCATTTTAAGTTGCTAAAGGTGGCAAAGAAGGACATGAAATGTTGAAAACAGTATATGGCGATCATGTCGTGATTCTGGAGACTGTTAATTAGTGGTATGAGCAATTAAAAAGCGGGAAATGTATCGGGTAAAAAAAAACCTACGAAAACGTGCGAAAAGTGGCAAAAAATGGTTGGATCAATGGGGCGATTAACGTTTCGAGAGTTTGCCGAAGGATTAAACATTTCATATGGGTCTGTAAAAAGAATTTTGATCGATAGCACAGACCCACAGAATAAAAAGATCGGTATGTGCCTGGGGTTCCACTATGTTTTCTCCATGTACGTATTCTCGCTGAACACTAATCTGAAGTTAGAGAGGTCGCTGGACATATGTTAGAGAAAACGCAAAGTGGTGGGTGCTGGGTGTCCACCTACAGTGCTGATTAAAAGCGGCATTGACTATTATAGAGGCATGAATGCAGAGATGCATAGCATCGAACAGCTTCTGTGGTGGTCAATATAGCGAGAAGTGTCCCGTTGAAGATCACATCGGTGTATGTCAGGTGTGGTACCAGGCTTCAGGAGGCGGACCTGGAAGTCCTTACGGACTACGCTAGTCCACTTATTGTGGCAGGAGACTTCAACTGCAAACATCGAGCATGGAATTCCAGGTTGAATTCCACGAGTGGGATTCGACTGTACAGCCATGTGATACGAAATGGGTACCTTGTACATAATACTGAGGAGCCGACACACCACCCATTCAATCACCTTCAGGCACCAGATGTCATTGACTGTGCGATATCTAAAAAATGTAGATACAGAATCTCTTCTCGAGACTTGTATGCTATCTTTAGTGATCATCTACCTCTTGTATTGGAGGTAGGAAATGAGCAGACTTCTGAGGAGGAAGCTCCTCCAAGGAAACGCATTGATTGGAAGCTATACAAGTTGTTCCTTAGAGAGCTTCCCAATATTCCGATCATAGATGATGAGACTGGAATAGAAGCCGCTCAAGCGGAGTGGACAAGTTTCATTCAAACAGCACTACAGCGTGCAGCTATACTTCCTGTACAACGACACGGCAGACCTTTTTTGCATGCGGACGTTCGTCAGAAAATCTCTGACAAAAGAGCCGCTATTAGGCAGGCAAAAAGGTCTTGTCATCCTGATGACATTCGTAGGGCTACAAATCTTGTCCATAAACTCCGCAACGAGCAATGGAGCGACTTTCTGGCGGGAATGATCGATTCAAGTATTCCTCTCTGGAGGGTCGCAAAGTCACTCAGAAACGGAAAGCGAGAACAGCTCTTGCACATCCACGGTCCTGCAGGCATTGTCTTCAGAACGGAGGATAAGGTCGAGGTTTTCGCTGATGCCATGGAAAAACAGTTCTCGCCCAACTATGATCTTGATCATGACCTCGACGAGAAACATCACATCGTACGATCCGTCAGGAGATATTTTAGGGCCAACGGCGTCAGCGGAGGCACTGAATCCTCTTCAGATGACTCTTCTTCAGAAGATTCGTCTGAGGCTCCACATAGCACCGGAACCCTCCGAGGTTCCACATTGCACATCAGTGGAGCTCCTAAGTCATACTAAAGACCTCAAGGTGCGTAAAGCACCTGGGGAGGATCTAATCACCAACAAGGCGTTGAAGCTGCTATCGCCGAAAGCCCTGACATATTTGGTGACAATAATCAATGCGACGCTTAGAATCCAGTACTTCCCTGCTGGGTGGAAGACTGCTGAGGTCATCATGATTCCAAAGAAGGTGGATTCGGTATTTCCTCAGGATTACCGTCCCATAAGGCTGCTGTCAGCTCATTTTAAGCTCGCGAAAAAGGTGATTTATCGTCAACTTGAGAATTTTTCGTCATATCACCACGTGATACCTGACGTTCAATTCGGTTTTCGGTCCGAGCATAGCACCGAGCTATAGGCAGTCAGGCTAGTGGAACATGTAACCAGAGGGTTCACCGTCAGCATGAGTACTGGCATCTTGCTTTTGGATGTTTCAAAAGCCTTTGACAAGATGTGGCACGCGGGCCTCCGCCATAAACTAATCCAAAAAGGGTTTTCCCTTTTGGCTTCTAAAATTACTGAAATCTTTTCTTGAAGGAAGGAAGTTTCGGATCAAAATTAACAATGTTTTGTCAACAACACGGTCCTAGGGCTAATCCTTTATTCGCTTTTCATTCATGATGTCCCTTGTCCCAGCAACTGTGAAGTCTACCTCTCTGCTGATGTCACTGCACTTGTCGCCCAGTCGTGTACTGGTGATCTGGTTCACGATGGGTTGCAGAATGCGATTGACGAAGTACTAGAGTGGGCGAAACGGTGGCTGATAAAAATTAATCATTCGAAAACGCAGGCTATGTATTGCACCAAAAAACGTCGCGGCCCCCAGCAGAGGTTTCTGTCGACGGAAATCGTGTACCATGGACAATTTCTGCCAAGTATCTCAGTGTCACCCTTATTAAAGGCATGACCTGGCAGAAACACACAGCATCCATAAAAACAAAATTCCAAATTGCGTTTCGGCAACTATATCCTTTGTTATGTAGATCCTCCAAATTGAGTTTGATACACACGACTATATAAAATGATTATTAGACCAGTCATTACTTATGCATGTGCGGCTTGGTGTTTTCTTGCCAAGACCCACATGCAAAGTCTTCAAGTACTGCAAAGCAGAACCTTGCGGACAATTTGCAACGCTCGAATGGTATGTCTCAAATGAGACACTACACAGAGACCTTGACATTCCTTACTTGAGGCATTATGTCAAGCTTCAGACGCAGCGACGCTATAGTCAAGCGGAATCGCACAGCTACCTTCTGTTGCGTGACTCAGTGCACTACACAGTGGAGCAAGTTCGTAGGGATTCAAGGCCACAGCTCGCACTGTAATCAAAAGTTAGCACGAATTTTTAGTAAACTCAAAATTACACTCCAACAAAACCGAATAAAAAATTTGTTTAGTTCACCTCAAAATTAATCCTTGTACCAAGTCAAAAATCCTAGGTGTTTCCTCTTAAACTAAGCACATCTGTTTTTCTTTGCTCTTCTCCTTTTTTCTTCTCTTTCCCTTTCTCTTTTTTTTGACTATGTCTGGTTTCTGGGCAACCAGGACTGACAGATTCGACAAACGTATATTAGACAGTGAGTAATAGGCAAAGGTCCTACGGACCGCCCAGACAAACAAATGACGAATAGCTGCAGAATAATTGAATCCAGAGTTAAAGACGTTACGTTACTACATTTTCATAACTCTTCTCTCACAGATAGTTGCCAATAGAATGATTGTAACATTTAATATATCAGCCCCATGCTTTTTACTGTGAATTAAATTATTCTGTTAAAAACTTGAATTAATTTTTTAGTTCGATTTATCAACTAGTTTTTTTTATTTTATTCTGTTAGAATTTATGATTGGATATTGTTTTCATGAGAATTAGGTCCTACTTTATCGACTGTAAAACCAAAGCTATGTAGGAACCGTAAGAAGTAATCGGGACATATGCTCCCGGCACGGAGAAAGGTAACCGTGGAATATACTGACATACGTCTAGTTAATTGAAGTTACGGTCTTGTTTTTTTAATTCATATTCATTATTTGTATTTTAATCAATAGGACTTTATAATTACAAATTCTTTGATCGTATTAAATTCGTTCTATATCGACTATAAATTCAAAGCTTGGCTGTTTACCAAATTATGTTCCGCAAAATAAATAGATTTAAATTTATGTTTTGATCATTTTGTTGTGAATAAGACGTCTTTTGTGAATCACGGTTATCATATGAGGCCTTTATTTGCAAAACTTGCTATTTGCTCGAAAGACAATTTTTGGGAAATCGAAAAAAACGATCAACGGTCGAGTCGTGTTTACTGGCAATGTGGAGAATTTTATGAATATTGCTTAGAGTTTTTAGGAATGGAGATTAGGGGTTTCTAGCCTAAGATATTTTCAGATTTTTAGAAAAAAAATAATGTTTATTGCAAATAACCAGTTTTGCAAATAAATATCTAAATAAATTAGTTCAATAACTAACGTAAGGAATTTTATTCATGAAAATGAAACTGCAACATTTTAATAATATGAATAAAATGTGTAAGCGACAAAGATCTCAAAAGACTCATGCTCAAACGGAAAAACAGTCATTCTCGGCATTTTGGCAATTTTCCAAACTATCAACGGTTTCGTCTGGTGAGGCAGAAGCTGTCTTCAAGTGTTCTTTGTAAAAATTCAGTTCAGGAAGGCTTCTCCAATTTGCTCCGTAGTGGTTGGAAAGGAGAACATTGATAGTTGATTTATCCCCCTTTATTCCTTTTCCCAGTGGTAATTTCTCAGGAGCCATTGAAGGAAGGGAAATTTTTTTTTTACAAACGCTTTTAGCTTGTCCAACGTCACTGCAGTAATTGGGCTCACCTTTAACTAGAACATTTTTGTCTTTTCTGTAAAAAATAAACCGCTTTGCCTTATTGAATTCAAAGTGCCATGAACTAGGCAGCTTAATAACTCGTTTTGCTTGTGTTCTCCAATCAAACACATCCCAATCGATACCGATTTTCCGTATAGTAGAATGCTCTCTAATTAAATCATCGTAGTCACTAATTTCCACGATAACAGGCATTTTTTAATGTCTTTTTCTATAAGGCCGAAAATGCGATTAGGCGGAATAAAGGAATAACCGACGATCGGAAAAATCAATTCAATTTGTTTAATATGTTTCGGCGATTCTTCTAGGAGCCAGTAAGCCAACATTGCCATCATATTCGTATTTTTGTTTTGTCCGCCGCAACCATCAGCGAACAAACGTACTGTTTCTTTGCTGGGATCAAAATCAAAATTCTTTAGAGCATATTGCAAAGCTGATGCTATTGTATTAGAATCTTTGCGGGCGTCAATTTCTGTCCACAAGTAAGAAAACACATTTTTTGGTCTTAATTTATCTGTAGAAGTTCCAGCGACAACTGTAAAATTATTATAGTTGATTTGCTGGCTGAAATATGCTGCTTGATCAGGCAGTCTAGGCAGTGCCAAGTTTTTCTGGCAGTCGAATGAAAAGTAAGTTGTGTTTGGTTTTTGATTTTTAAGGAGTTTGAAAAAAGCCTTTGCTTTTGCGATATGAACACGATGCTCAGTGACTAACTTTTGACGAACATCTAAAGAAGTTGCTACTTTCAACTGCTCCTTTGTTCTCAAGCAAGTGGAGCAACAGTCAGTCAACGGAGTTCCAAAAGCGATGTTGTAGTTAGCATTCACATACTTTCGAAACTAACTAAGCTTCACATGCATAGGCTGAGGCACTCTCCGAAGATAATGGTCGAAAAGTTTCTTGAAATTCAAGTCACATGGCAGGTAGACCCTCACGCTTGTCTTGCTTCTACAGTAATGAGACTCGGTACATGTAATGGATTCAATAAATCTTTTGATGCAGTTTCTTGTTTCGTCATTTTTTGGACCCACTCTATTGCCACCTCTACGTTTCCTGGGTAGCTCCCCTGTGACAACAAAATTTCTTACAATTCTTTGTATGCGGTCTTTGCTTAAATTTGTGATTCCGAGAAATGATTTGGCACATACTCTAATCAACTCGCCCTCACTCAAACGTACATGGTATTTTATCGCCGGTGCAGCATGATTAGATTTTCCTGTTTTCGGACTTTGTCCCTTACAACAAGCCAATATTAGAAGGTCTTGTTTAATTTTATCTTTTGACTGATAAAGGTAGGCATGGAAATCTTTAATCTGCTTCATTGTGAGTGTGGTACAATAATAGGCCAATCCAGGTCGTCCATTATGACCACAAGTTGGAATGGTCGGCAGCGCTTTTGGTATATATCTGTAACGATACAACACAGGACTAGTAAACTTTGTCTGTAGCCCTACTCAACGTAAAGACATCGCGAAAAACAAGTAAAACTGCATAAAAAACTTGAATTGTCGCATAAGTCTAAAATCATAAGTTTAAGATGAAGCACTTACCTAGCAAGTTTATCAACATTCCTTTTATGTGTTTCTGGTTGAAGAAGTTTTTTGCGACCTTTCCCTGTGGACTCTGTTTAACAGGAAAAATATTTTCACCTACTAACTCCATAAAAATAAACAATTGTTCCTAATTCGTGAAATGTTTAGTCGCTTGAATACAAACTACTGAAAATCCGTTGCTTGTGAACAGCTGTTGTAATAGCGTGTTCGTCACGTGAATCAACGGGCAAATTTTATTGGTGGCAGAGCAAGCAGCGAGTTTTGCAAGTAAAACGTCAAAGCAGTATTTACATGCTAAAGAGAGAGTTTTGAGAAGTTCTGATTTCATCATTCGATTCCTCTTTAAAATTGAGCAAAAAAAAGAAATTTCTAAGATTTTGTCGATTAGCAAGTTTTGCGAATAATGGCCTCATATAATATATTATATCAATATTATTAAGAGTAATTCGCGTGTATTAGACTCATTAGTACCTACGCATGTATAAGCAATGAACAACCTTGAAAAAGAATCTGCCTCGTTAGTGCTGTGCCGATTGCCCAAATCAACAAAGAGTAAGTTCGAAACTGCACGCATGCGCAAATCGCGCGCTAGCTCTATCTCCCGTACTCCTCTACAGACAATCTATAAAGAATTTATCAATCCTGGCTGTCCTAATAAGGATAATGGAAAACTGTTATCAAATTATTGCATTGTCATCGGTCCTCGATATGCGTGCGAAGTTTCAAGTTAATTAAACTTCTAGAAATTGGTGAAAATTAAGCTCAAAGATTCCGTTACATACATACACACATACATACAGGCCAAGCTTATAATAAAAAAAGCGTCTAAATAAAAATAAGAAAGCATGTTAAAAATAGCATAGAATAGCTTGATTTTGAGTATTTCCAAAAATTATGTGTTTGCTCTCAAGTTCTCAAAAAGAATTTCTTGCTTGGAAAGGTACGTAAGTCTTTTAAGGTCGCACATATAGACCTCCCTATCATCTTACATACATTTCGGGTCTTAAAATACATCCCACATGAAACACCAAAATAATGATTCTGTTTCTCGACAAGAGTAGCGAAATAAAGAAGACTTGAAGGCCGCCTTTCTCCTTGTGGAAATTACTTGACAGTTCGCCTACCACCTTCGAGTGTCAAAATTGTCAAATCAATCAAGACCTTCTTTCGACAGAAATGTTTTAATTGAAGGAACGACTACATATTCAATTATTATTAGACAGTAGTAGGGGACACCGGGGCGGGGCAGGGTACCGGGGCAGAACGGTTTGCATACCATATTTCTCACTGTAAAGGCTAGATGTTACTAGCGCTCTCTGTTATCGTTTAGTAGAACGCCACGCATCGGTCGGCAACAATGAACAGATTACAGCAAACAGTTCAAAGTGTTTTCGGCCAAACGTAATGAATTTGTGCATGTGGATATAACTTTTCAGGATTTTTAATACAATGTAAGTTATTTAATTATTTGTTTTGGCGTTTTTTGTTCATTTAACTGTACACGGCATGTGTACAAGTATCTTTTGGCATATTCACGACAAAATATTAATAAAGCGTTTCTATGCAAAGGTTATGTTTTGTTATGAGTAGTTTGTGGGGCAGAACGGTGTGAGGCAGAACGGGTTGGGACCCCATTCTGCCCCTTATTATCAACGATCTCATTTTGATGCCTTGTGTTGCTTTCAGATGGTTCGCAATTATATTAGAAAGACCGATCGGCAACGGTGGAGTTCTGAAACTATGGAACGAGCTGTAGCTGCAGTAGTAAGTGGCGTAATGGGATGCAAGAAAGCTTCAATTCAATTCCAGCTTCCACAAACTACATTGGAAAGATACGTGAAAAAGCGTAGGACTGACCCAAATTCTGTGATTGATAAAACCGCTGGCAAATATCACTGTGTTTTACTCAAGAGCAAGAGGTAGAACTAGTTGTATATTTAAAGGATATTCAAAAGAGATTGTTTGGTTTAACATTAAAAGAACTCAGAAAGCTAGCCTATCAATTAGCGGTTAGGAATGGTTGTGAGCATCCATTTAACAAAGATACAGAAATGGCGGGAGAAGACTGGGCCCACTCATTTATGAGGATTCATTCAGAGTTAAGTTTGAGGAAGCCTGAGGCCACTTCTGGAGCACGTGCCATGGGATTTAACCGAGTAGCAGTCGCGCAGTTCTTTACATTATTAAATAAAGTTATTATTGAGAAAAAATTACCTGTGAAAGAATTTATAATTGCGATGAGACTGGCATTACAGTGATTCCAAAGCAGCATTCAAGGGTTATTGCAAATAGAGGAAAACGTCAGGTAGGCGTATTGACTTCTGCTGAGCGTGGCAATACAGTAACGGCAGAAATTTGTTGTTCTGCTGCGGGAAATTTCATGCGCTCCCTGTTGATTTTCCCGCGACAAAAGAAGAGACAAGAATATGAATTGGGCTTGCCACCTGGAGCTTGGATTGCGGCAAATGACTCTGGATGGATGACTATGGAAGTGTTTTTCGAATGGTTCAAGCAGTTTATTAAATTTTCTGGTGCAAAAAAGAAACTCCCGTGCTCTTACTATTTGATTTTCCCGCGACAAAAGAAGAGACAAGAATTTGAATTGGGCTTGCCACCTGGAGCTTGAATTGCGGCAAATGACTCTGGATGGATGACTATGGAAGTGTTTTCGAATGGCTCAAGAAGTTTATTAAATTTTCTGGTGCAAAAAAAGAAACTCCCGTGCTCTTACTATTGATGGACATGCATCTCATACGAAAAACATCGATGTAATAGATCTGGCTCGAGATAATGGCGTTATTTTATTATGTTTCCCACCGCACTGTTCGCACAGGCTCCAGCCTCTAGATGTGGCATTTATGAGACCTTTAAGTCTATACTACGAAGATGAAGTGCGAAGATGGTTGCGGTCAAACCCAGGTAAGGTTGTTACTTTATTTCAAATTTCAACCTTGTTTGGACAAGCTTTTATTAACGCCGCTAATATGAAAACTTCACTGACGATGACTTTTTACCAGCCGAGACAACTAATATTCCCATTGCTGAGACAGAAATTGCCATACTCAAGTAACTCAAGTCGATGATTTTCCAGAAAATAATTCCTTCAATGATCGCTCAACCCCACCTCCCAGAGAACTAAAGGAAACTAGCAACGAAACTCAAAATGGCTCTTTACTCTGGATGTCTGACACTCCTATTGCACCAATAAAAAAAGTGATCACCTCTAGTTATCCAGCCGTTCCTCCGAAGCTTTTATGCCAGTACCAAAACTAACGGCAACCGTTTAAGCGAGTGCAGAGAAAAAGAGGCAAAACCACTATTATTACAGAGTCACCGTATAAAGCAGAGTTGACTGAGGCATTAGAAAATCAAGAAAAACAAAGTAAAAAAAAATCTTTCAGGTCAGAAGCAGAAGAGGGAAACAGAAAAGATGTCTCAACCAAAAAGCAAAAGGTAATAGAAGCTAGAGTAAGCTCCGAGGAGAAGAAGGAGAAGACACATTATGTTTATTCTATAACGACCAATATTCAACCTCAACCGAAGGTTGGATTTCTTGCATTCAGTGTAAAAAGTGGGCTCATTACTCTTGTGCGGGAATAGATGGTAACGACGATGAGTCAGAACTGATTTGTGACATTTGTAAACCCGAGTACCCCATCGTGCCCCGCCGACAAGGCAGAATGGAGTAAAAGACACTTTTTGTTTAAGTCGATGACATAAAAAACTGTTAGCCTTATTTCCATATTTGTTTGTGTTTCATGTTTATGATACCTCATTAGATCATTATGTACCTTTTTAAATTTCTGTACATCATTACCCACCCAAACTTGAAATGAATGTTACGGTCCCCCATTCCTCCCCGGTCTCCCCTACCTAAGGGTTACATTTATAGATGTTCTTGAGAGTCGAGTGCCGTTTTAAAAATGGTCTTGAATTTTAAGTAAACAAGACCGCTTTCTCACGGATTGTTCCCAGGAGTTTTCAACATTTGCATTTTACCGCAGGTTGTAGGTAACAGGTGTCATCACAGCTTTTCAGAACTTGGAAAAATTTTAGAATAGTGAAATTTCCACGAATTTTTGACATTTTAGTAATATTAAATACCAAAATTTTTAGGATACCAATTAAAAATTACATTGTAGAAATATTGAAAAATTGACAATTTTGAAAATTATAATTACCAAAACTTTTGAATTCACTCAATTTCACAAATTTCAGATATTGGAAATTTTCATATCACCTAAAGCTTTCAAAGAATTTTTAAGATCTCGAAATTTTCAAAATTTAAAAAATTAAAAATATTTATATTTATCAAAATCCTCAAAATTAAAAAAAATATATATATTATGAGTATAATATAAAATATTGACAATGCCGAAAAGTGCATATTTCAAAAAATTTCAACACTTGAATGCCTGAAATGACTACTAAGTCCTGTTTTGAGCATGTTCTGAAGGAAGCGTTATTGTTTTCTTAATTCCAAGGAGAATTCATTTCTCAAAACGACACTCGTTCTCAAGGATCATCTATAGATTTAACCCTAAGCATTTTGTAGTTGCGACAAGATATCGAAATGGGATGTTGTCGTTTTTGCATGTTATTTATGATATATACACCATATCACTTATTTCCGTCTGTGTGACAGTCTGTCTATCTGGTAGACTGTGAACTGCTTATAACTTGGAAGGTACCGATTGAATTTTGATAAAATTTTGACACAAGGTTACTACTATACCAATCACGAAAACCTTGAAGTTTTTTTTTGTTTAGTGGCTGAGGACAAAAAAGGAAAACACCTAGGTACGTATGTTTATCAGATTTCATTAATTTTTGGCACATATGTTCAGTGTCCCTTACTAGTTAAATGTGTTAATTTCCAGCTTGATTATCACCAAACTGCAGAACTGGTTCAGTTATGTGTTGATGATCCACTATATTTTATACACTCATTGACATGACTGGGCATCGTGCTGATAAGGTGGTCGATATCCTCATCCCAGGCTGCTGCAACTTTGTGAGTAAGAGCCGCTAAACTCTGTGGAGGGTGTTGCAAATTGAAGAGCCTACAACCTATCATGCCCAAAAAGTTCAATTGGAGATAGGTCAGGCGATCGTGGTGGCCAAGGTAAACGGTTGATTCGATGTTGATCCATGAAGGCTGGCACTGTCTTGCTGAAAATCGGTAGATGGTGTTTAGGTATGGAATAAGATGAGGCTCCACTACTTCCTAAATATAGCGTTAGGCTGTTATATCGCCTCTGATGAAAATTAGTGGTGATCTACTACCAATAGCACCCCAAACCATAACTGCCACGGTGTGATGAACGTGACGCTCTCTGTCAAATTGTGATACCCGATTATAGGGTTATTACGACGTAAATACCTGAGTAATGTAAGAAAAAAATCGGTAAAACGTCAGCTATGGCACTCGGTAGTCAACTGGTGTGCAGCTAGTTCATTACGTGCCGACTACCGTCGCCTCTGCTGCTCGACTGTGTCGGACGTCAATCGTCATCCATGCCGGATGTACACATACTTCCGATCATGTGTGATCGTAGGAATCTTCCTCAGAAGAAGGGGGTAGCGCTATTCATCGGCAAGAGATATTTTTGAGTGGTAGCGTAGCTAACACCAAAACCTTTTGAAGAGCAAGGTGTAGCATATTTTACCATGGAGCCAAATCCTGAAGAGCCCCAAAACTGAGCAGAAAAGCATGCTGAATATCCAATTTTGATTGTATGAGCCTTTGCGGTTAACTTGATCCGTTTAATTTTTTGTTAAACACACCCTTGACTAACATTTTTCTCAAAGGTTCACCTTGTGTCAGATATATACATTTATGTACTGATGAAAGCGTTGCATTGAAGTATAGAATCAATCTACTTGACGACATTCAAAGTAAACACCATTACCGTTCAGTCATTCAAAATAATCCACATCACTGCAAAGTATGATGTTCAACTTAAAAAAATTGACTTGACTTTGACCATAACCTTCAAGGTCATGGTCAAAGTCAAATCCATGTTTACCTCTGCCCACTCTTGAATAAGTCTTAACAGCAGTATGTGTTACTTCTTCTCTGTCAACATTACAATCTATAATCATTGTATCCTAAATCTATCAATAGCCCCTAAATGGGGGTTTTTCAGTTCTATAGGAGGTCTGGGAGGGGTTTACTGACCATGGCCTTCAAATGTATGGAGAAATATATAACGTGTGAAATATTGTGAGATAGGTGCATAGAATTACTGGGGTTGGAAGCGTGTAAATATATATACTTCCGTCATCCCATACAAGCTCCAACCCTCAATTTTCAACTCTACAAGAATTTTTCTGAATATAACCAGGTGCCTCTAAAACACCAAAAAACGATGTTTACGCAATTTTTATTCTTATCATTTTTTGTCTGTAGCTCTGCCTCCACAAGATAGATTTTCAGAAACTAACAAAAAATCATCAAAATTCGAGCGGTATCTTTCAACGATTAGCGGACCAACAGACAGACCGATTGAACTTCTTGCAACATTCAAATAATAATAATACTACTAATAGCGCCCCTTATTTGCAGTACATGAGAGAGACAAAGATAGCGAAGCTAAGCCTAGGCTACTCTTACACTTAACTATTTTCGTCAGTCCATTTAGAGCACAATATAATGTGCGCTGTCTAAAATATTTCATCAGAAAGAAAATTGGAGTTATAACTAACTAAACTAAACTATAAACTAAAATACACCACAACTATATACAGTATGTACACGTATGCCCAAATATAAATATAGATACACATATACACATAAAATATTCACATTATATATATATACATGACAGAGATATTAAGTAGACCAATATCAGGTCAGGGTAAATACAAATTGTTTTATTTGTTTCCTTGTATTTACATTTGCATTATAAGAAAAACAACGCTTGAAAAGTGTCATAGAGTGAGGCGGTATTCTGATTAGTTTACGGTCTCGTATGCTCCTGCTACGAGCTTCATGACTAAATATATCTTATCTCTCAAATAAGTGGGCTTTCATGTAGCTATCAACTTGTTCAAACATGTTAAGTATTTGTACTCAACTAGTTTGCCAATTCTTAGCCATTTCATATGATAGTATTTATCGCTAACATGATCAAATTTTCTCAG